AGGCAGCTCTGATGTCCCCCTGGATAATGAAGCATTGTTGTCTCTAGGAACATGTAAAGATGTTCAGAGGTTGGGTTTTTTTAAAATTATTTTTATATTTTTTTTCAATAACATGCCATTGGAGTATCGTGGAGCTCTTGTTGGAGAGAGGCTTGGGGAGGACAGCTACAGTGCACTGTGTTACTGGTCCTAGCTGAAGTCACAGTGCGACCTAGGATATTTTGATGTTTTCCACTTTTCTCCCCCTCCCCCCTTCTTGTTTCCCCCTCAATGGGTGCAGATTTTGGACAGAACTGTCTGCTTGCAGAAAGAGGTGCTTAAGAAATATTTTTACATTGTTTCCTTTTTGCCAGTATTCAGTTAAGATAGAAGGACACTTAGAATTTGTCTGTCATAGATTTGTTGGGGTTTACTTGTTTGTTTTTAACTTAGGCGTGATGCCATGCTAATCCAAGCCCTGTGCTTCACAAATTCTCCATTTTTATTAATTTCAAGTGACAGTGTTTGGTGCCCAGAGAAGAGAATTATGTGTTCTTTTTCCCCCCACCCTTTGAGCTTTTAGTAGTAGTATGTGACAGCATCCATTGACTGCAATAGTTAATGTTTCTGAAGCAGATAAGGCTTTAGGAGATTAAAGTAAAAAATATCAACCATGGAATTCCAGAAAGGGGTGAAAGTTAGTGGTTAAGAACCAGCTACAATACAGTTACCCAGCATGAAGTGTCTATTAATTACACTTTTAATATGTAGTTAATTCTGCCTTTTATAACTAGCATTCAGGATGGCAAAGGGATAGACTTGTTTTGTCAATTGTGTGCATGCCAGATGGAGCCTTAATATGTGTCAGCAGATAAATGGGCCATTATTAAGATTAGATGCATAATGATCATTTCAGCCTTGTTTATTTAGGTCATCAACAGCAGTAGAAGATGATCTCTTACAAGTAAAAATACTTTGGGATCTGAAAATCTTTTGCTTTTCTTAGACTGCTATCAAAATAAATGTAAAAGGTTTGGTGTCTAGTTTTAAAGTAGTACATCAAGTTAACTTTTAGTTTACTTAAATGAGAACTGAAAAAAAAAAAATTCACAACCATGAATAATTCTACCAGTGACTTGATTCATTGTCCTGAGTAGTGAAGCTAATAGCTGTGTAAGTGGAAGAACTGTTTATTTATTAGATGGAAATAATGAAATTAATGTTTTACCTAGTATTTCAGTGCAAGGCTCTTAGATATTTTTTTATTTAGTACACAATACAATGTTCAGTTATATGTTTATTCTTAAAATAACAGCTACAACTTTAGGCTCCTTGCATTAGTGAAAGACTTTGATGGGAATAAATGTCTGTGTTTTATTTCAGGTTGCAGTGTAAGGTTTTGGAAGTCATAGCTCCAGCCCAGCACAATGGAATGGCCAATGGCCACGCCAGCAGCACTGATGGAGACACAATTGTCATCAGCGACAGTGACGACTCAGAAACGCACAATAGCTCTGCACAAAATGGGTAAATGATACTTTCACAGTATAAAGCATTTGGGCTGGGTGGAAATGAGACTGAAGCAGACATGGTGGGGTCTGACCAAAACAAATTACTTGATCTGTATGGATCGTGAGTGTTCAGCCAGCTAAGGATGACAAGCTGAATATTCACAGGTGCCAGTTACGCTACGTATAATCACCAGAGACCTGTGCATTATGACAAATGGAGTACCTACAGAATAATCACTGTTAATCTGTTTGGAATGACAGTGTTTCTGTTGAGAGATGGTGGAAGAGCCATGTGTGCCTATCATTTGTCCTCTCTGTGTTGCTAATAGCTCGGAAAACGCAGTCATGTTCTTGATTTTTACAGTCTGGCAGTACTTAGCATGACGTATATTTCAGTTCCATCATGGGGACTCAGAGTTGAGATTGCCCTACAATAAGAGGACGTGCTCTTACTGGAACTCCCTGAAAAGTCTTTGCAGAGACTTAATGTGTTTGTGTCCAAAACATAAAAATGTACAAAGCTTGCTTCATTGGGCGTGTGTCAATGTAAATATATATACCATTGTATTTTGTGGATTTGGTTATGATTTTAGGTGCAGTAATACTGTGTGTATTTTGTCTTAAGAAACTGCCTATAGGCTGAAGTGTCTTAATATTGAATAAGAGAGCTGCTTGGCTGTAATGGTGGTGTTTAATTTGGAGTATCTCCTTACTGACCAGTAATTGAGCTTATCCTGGCAGTTTAGTGAGAAAAAAGTTTTCCGTGCTTCACAAGCACAATGTTGATGAAAGAAGAGAGTTTGAAGTGGGCCTTGGTCTTGTATCTAGCAACATCGAGGCTTCACATGAACTGTCATTGACTTTGAGATGTCATGTGAATGCAGAAGTTATTGACTGCTGCATGAGGACTTCCATGTCCTGACATGCCTTGAATAGTTAGGGTGGAGCTCCTCACTTGGCTAAGAAAATAACACGAGATAAATAATTTTTTTAATTCCCTTCTGTCTCTTGAAGGAAATGTCCAGGTTGTTCGTGGAGAAGTCCTACATCTTTTAGAAAATAAATGCATTTTCTGTGTTCCGCAAGGCATATGGCATTTGAAAGGAGGTTATTCTTGTAATAATGCAAGCGTGCACAGAGCTGACTGTGGGATTGATCCCTTTATATTGCTGTCACTTCCATGCCTGCAGAGCTGGTAGTAGGACGCAGTCTTACACTCCCAATCAGTCTGTAGTTCTCCCCAGCTGATTACTTCTTTTGACAATGCAGAGAAGGGAGGGAAAATAATTTCTTTCTCCTCAAAAGAGAAGTCTTGTGAGACTGTACAAATTTTTGAAGCACTGTTCTGTGCTTTACCTAACTAACATTTATGTTACAAGCTTAAATTGCAAACCTCTTAGGGCTTTAAAATGCTTACTAGAAGTTTTAAATGAGTCTTTTCATAACAAATGCAAGAGTAATAACGCTCTAATTAGTTTCTGGGTATACTATGGGTATATGCAAACTTGGAAAGCATTATTTGCTGTACCTGTAAAACCTATCTGAAAGTAGAGCATTGTTGTCAATTTTTGTATATTGGCATCTAAGGTTCTTTATACCCTTACTGATAACAATAAGAAATCCCGCTGAACTGAATGACATTGTTTGGCAGCCCTAAACCTTCAGGGACTATGTTTTGCTGTTTATAGAGAAACTTGGATGTGGAGAGTACAGATGTTATTCGCCTTGGGACCAGTGTCAAGTTGATGGGTGCAGAACCACAGTTCTGCCTTCGTCTGCACACAAATCTCCCTGTTTTGAGACCCGGCCTTCGTGCAAAGCTGTAGTGCCGTTAAACAATGGTACAGCAGATGCTCGGTGTGTTTGTGAGAGAGGGGGAGGGGAGCACAGCACAGATTGATGGGCCATCTGCAAATATTTTTCCTAAAGAATCTGTAAGGCTAGAGAATCTCAACTGAAAATAGATGTCATTAGAGATCCCAACCTTTCTCTGACCCTACTCCTGTCTGTGTGGGGCAGAAATAACCACGCGTCCTGTACAAATGTTCCTGCTGCCCTTTTTTATTGTGTTCTGCAGTAAAAACTGAGGTTGTACGGGGAGAAGGAAGCCAGGACACTCTCACTCCTGCGCTCCCTCAGAAAAACAGACAGCCTTGCAAGGCCAGGTTGTGAAGCAAAAGGTAGCAACCACCGTAGATCTTAAACCATTGATGCTATGCCCTGGGACCCTCTGGTACCATAGGATAGTGGCCATCACAGAATAGCAGTGTTCAACCTTACCCCTAAGTTGAGCAGTTTAAAGTATGAACTCTTGCATTTCCTTTAACAGCAGCAGACTGGAGATTGAGGGGCTTGTACTGCCGAATACATACAATACTAGCTGCGACTTAATTCATGGCATTCCTCCTGCCAGGGCTATAATGTGAACTAACAACCACATCAGAAATACTAGAAGAAAAAGTTTCTTCTTGGCTTGCTGGCTGGTTTATGGCAGTAAATTTGGGTGTTTATTTGATTTGAAGTGAAGGTATCATCTTTAGTTCGGGGAAGAGTTAATTGTTTCTGCAAATTTTGGGATGCAAGCAAAGGTAACAGGAAATTTTTGGGAACAACGCAAGTGGAACCTTGTAATTCAGATTTTTTTTTTGCCATCTTCAACCTAGTTTTCTTTCTGTATTTGGAGAAGAAATTATGAACAGGATATGTGAAAAAATGCATTCATAGCTTGTCATTAAAGCTCTACAATGTCTTCAGTAGAACAAATCTTTCCTCCTCTTTAATTCTTATCTTTCCTCTTTCTTTTCTTCTTCTCTCATCTCTCCATCCCCTGAACCTAGTAATAATGATGGTAGGTTTTAGTCCACTTTGTATTGTAAGGAAGGACCAAAGTACTGGATCAAAGGCAGCTTAAAATCTTTACCAGAAGGTTCAAAGCCAGGATTTTGTTGCAAAGTGCTGTTGTCTTGTCCCTAGAGCGGTATAACCAGCATGCTGTTCCCAGTCTTCATGTTGCTGTATTTCCATGTTGAAACTATAGTCGTAGTCCAGAAAATATTTGCAGTTCCAAACGGGCACTTGTGATGGGTCAGTATAGAGCAGCTTGGCAGCTGGAACCTTCAAAGGTGTGCAGAGGCCAGCTTTTCTATCAGGATTGATACACTGACGGGTTACGTCTGTGTAAGCCTTGCACTGGAGCATAAGGAGACCATAAATGATTGTGTTATTTAGCAAGTGGTCTTTTGTGGGAGCTTTTCCCATTCCAAAACTTAATCAAAGAGAAGAATAAAAGCCACTACCTCTTTTTGGAAAAGGAGGGCATAATTCGTTTTAGATGCGTTTCTAATCCTCTAACCCTCAATATTTTTCTGCGTAATTTTTCTTGTTCTGGTAATACTGCAAGGTACAGATAGCTCCAGAAAGACTCAGACAAGAAGGACAAGGTCTCAGAAGTTTCTTGGTAAAGCTGCCTTAAGACCATGCTGCCTGAATATTGTATAGCAAGTCTGTAAGCAGAAGCTTGTCCAGGTCATGTCGTCACTGTGCCAAAGTAATTGAAGGGCTGATGAGATTATCATTGAATGGTTAGGGTTGGAAGGGACCTCAAAGATCATCTAGTTCCAACCCCCCTGCCATGGGCAGGGAAACCCTCCACTACATCAGGTTGCCCAAAGCCTCATACAACCTGGCCTTGGACACTTCCAGGGATGGGACATCCACAACTTCTCTGGGCAACCTGTTCCAGTGCCTCACCACCCTCTGAGTGAAAAATTTCTTCCTTATATCCAACCTAAATCTCCCCTCTTTCAGTTTAAATCCATTGCCCCTTGTCCTGTCTCTACACGCCCTTGTAAAAAGTCCCTCTCCAGCTTTCCTGTAGGCCCCCTTTAAGTACTGGAAAGCTGCTAGAAGATCACCCCGGAGCCTTCTCTTCTCCAGGCTGAACAGCCCCAACTGTCTCAGCCTGTCTTCATAGCAGAAGTGCTCCAGGCCTCGGATCATCTTTGTGGTCCTCCTCTGGACTCACTCCAGCAGCTCCATGTCTTTCTTGTGTTGGGGACTCCAGAGTTGAACGCAGTATTCCAGGTGGAGTCGTCTCATGATAGCAGAATAGAGGGGCAGAATCACTTCGCTCGACCTGCTGGCCTTGTTCCTTTTGATACAGCCCAGGACACGGTTGGCTTTCTGGGCTGCCAGCGAGGTTCAGAGTAACCTTGTTCAAAATATGCAAGACTCTGCCAGGTGCTAGGCACGTTTACCCAAGCACAGTAGAAACTAGTATAACATGGGCGAGGCAATTCCTGTAATCACCTAAGTTAGAGATCCTGTTATTCTTTGCCCTGGATCTGGTGGTCTGTCCGAACTGTCCTGTGAAGACTTGCTGTAGAGAATCTCTGCTGTGAAATGGGTCGAACCTTTGCTAACTCTTATGTGTTTTATATAATGCATTACAAAGTAAAATAAAAAATATAGTATCGTAACTTTTATGCCAAAGCGACTAGATAATCTATTTAACTTTTAAAGCTTTCTACATATACTGAATGACCTTTTTCTTCTCTTCTGCACTAAGCAAAATTTTGACGTTAAATTAGGATTTATGGAGGAGGATTTCAGGAATATTTTACCATGAGAGTTGTAGAACACTGGAACAGGTTGCCCAGAGAGGTGGTGGATGCTCCATCCCTGGACACGTTCAAGGCCCGGTTGGATGAGGCCCTGAGCAACCTGATCTAGTTGGAGATATCCCTGTTCCTTGCAGGGGGGTTGGACTAGATGGCCTTTGAAGGTCCCTTCCAGCCCTAACGATTCTATGATTCTATGATTCTATGATTCTATGATTCTATGATTCTATGATTCTATGATTCTATGATTCTATGATTCTATGATTCTATGATTCTATGATTCTATGATTCTATGATTCTATGATTCTATGATTCTATGATTATGTTGATTTATTAGAATAATAATTGGCAACTCGGAAACCAAGCAGAAAAAACTTAGTGTGTTTGGAAATTAGGTTGTGGCTATTATATATGATCCACTGAAGGTGAGAGAAGGATTTACTCAAGCCAAAAAGTAAAGGTTAACGATACAAGAGTTAACCATTTGATTGTTCTTTGGGCCGTGGTTTTGATTACAGACAGTATGAGAGCTGAGAATCTATTCAAAATGTGTAAGTAAGTTAATACACTTTTGGTGTAACATTGAGACTCTGATGCCTTTTATTTTGTATCTGAACATTATCTTTTGGGTCCTTCTTCAGCTCGTTAGACTGAAGCACTGGAAACGCAGGGGTGTATGAGGGAACAAGTTTGTATTTTATACTATCCAGAAATTCCTAGTGTCAGCCTTCATGACTTTAGCTTTCCTATCTTGAGAGTGAGGATGATCATGGAAGACCAAGTCACTGTATGACCAAAATACGAAGCTTCTTTTAATGAACTTAAAATTATAGGCAGAGATTTCATAGATTTCATAGATTTTTCTAGGTTGGAAAAGACCTTAGAGATCATCGAGTCCAACCGTCCCTAATCTCCCATTAAAACATATCCCTAAGTAGTTCATCTACCCTTTTCTTAAACACATCCAGGGATGGGGACTCAACCACCTCCCTGGGCAGCCTATTCCAGTGACTGACAACCCTTTCAGAGAAGAAATACTTCCTAACATCCAACCTGAATCTCCCCTGACTAAGCTTATACCCATTTCCTCTTGTCCTATCACCCATCACTAATGTAAAGAGCCTTTCCCCCACCTCCCCACCATCTTTTCTCAAGTATTTGTAGGCTGTAATCAGGTCTCCCCTCAGCCTCCTCTTCTCCAGGCTAAACAGCCCCAACTCCCTCAGCCACTTCTCATAAGTTTTATTTTCCAGCCCCTTCACCAGTTTAGTCGCCCTTCTTTGGACTCGCTCCAGGAGCTCAATATCTCTCTTAAAGCGAGGGGCCCAAAACTGGACACAATATTCCAGATGCCAGTGGGTATACTGAATTACTTTGTTTATACAGTTCATTTCTGTTTTGCTAATATGACTAGCTGAGTGGGCTCTTCAAAATTGTTTTTCTTAAATTGGAGTTGGTCTGAGTGACTCAACTTGAGACTTTAACTTGGATAGAGCATCATGCAAAGCAAAGAGTGTATATCATAGTGCTTATCCAGTAGACCTGTTGCTATTTCCAAGTCTAAATCTTCTTTTCTGTCCCTTCATTTGTTTTTAACTATGTTGATCATTTAATCATTGTAAATTATTTTTCTCTAGGAATTACAAATAATTTTCTTCTAAAATGACACTAACTGTAGAAAAGTACCGTTTCTTTTACACTTCGTTTATATGAATTAATGTATTTATCGTTAGGCATCTGAATGTTGCATTTCTTCGAACTTCTATTTCACAGAGTTAGTGAGGGGAAAAAATAAGAATTGGAGCAAATTTCATATTCAACAACCTTGCAAAGTACAGTTCACTACATCTTATGTGTATTCTTCATGGGGTAAAGAAAAATAAGTGTTATATTGATTTATTTTGTTTTGCCACAGACTCTACCTTCAAGCATTTCATAAATGCCAGAAGGACTGACAATGATGAAATGCGTAGCTATAAATCTCCTAGTTCATCCGCATAACTTTTTCACCTTCCCTTAGTGATGAAATAAGATGACAGTTGAATTCTTCCTGATAAAGCAATATGACTATTGATTACATATTATCATCTTAGGAGAAGTTAGTTCTGTTATTTAATAGCAAAATGCAATGTTATTAAAGAAAATCTCAGTCGTTTAACTCTGTTCATGAAGTCTGTCCATAAATGCCACGCTATTTAAAGTACATTGTCTCTAGCAAAAACCTTTTAGTCTTTTAAAGGAGTGAATTTTGGTTTAGTAGCACACCAGACCTGGATGGTTCTTCTCCTAGGAAGAGGTGTAAGAAAACAGACTGTCATGTTAAAAATGAAGAAATATTTTCTGTGGGGGGAAAAAAAAGTAGTTCTCTATAGCTGAGAGCTGTGAAAGGGAAGTACACTTTGGGGAGAAAAACATATAACTCAATAAGCATTTATTTTAAAATGTAGATGCATTACCTTGTGATTCCTGTTACTTTCAGAATGTTGTTGGTGAAGGTGATTTTTGTAAATTAGTACTTCAGAAAAATATTCTACCTGATTTTTTTTTTTAAATCATTTTGAGATGTGATCTGTAGCTCTATGGCTACTATTTTTATTCCTTTTAATTAACTCTGTCTTTTGGACTACTTCCTCATCTTCTTCTCCTTTTTCCTGCCTTCCTGTTGCTATCACGAGTACTGAGAGTTTTGAGATGATTTTCTGAGAGATAGGGATGTATCATTACAAAGAGGACTTAGTTCTTCCTTCCCTTCTCATCTCCCTGCTAAGAAAACGAACATCCTCAATCCCTTTTCCTGTTCCTTGCAGGAACTGGCTTTGATGTAGATCTAAATCCAGTGGAAGAAAAGCTGGCAGAAGTTAATAGGTCCTCTTTGGTACCAGTGAAAGTTACAGCCTGTATTAAATATGGCTGGGTATTTTCAAGAGGTCCATTGTGTATCCATATGAATATATTAAACATGTACAATATAAGAGTGATGTTTAGTGATTGTAGTTAACTTTTTTCATTTCTTTTTAGGGAGAAGAAAGCCATAATTGATCCTTCTTTGTTCAAATACAAAGTCCAGCCTATTAAAAAAGACTTATATGAAACTGTTACCGTTAAAGCATCTCAACTAAGGTAAAAATTAGTATATGAAATTTACAATTGTACTTTACAGCTGTGTGAGTTGTGTAAGTCACTGTAAGATGTTTTGGATGTTATGTTAAAATGTCGTTTTATATGTTACAATATTATGTTACCAGAGGCACTGGTACTACCATGTTTTACAGGCTTTCTGTAGCGAGGGTTCCAGGCTTTGCTAATATTAATACAGATACTGACTCCTTACAAGTCTCTGTGCTTTTGCTGGCATGCAGGTGAGACCTGCTGTGGCTTCTGATACCTCTGCTTACTGCTGTGCCCAATGGGAGGAGTAGGTGAAAAAAAGTTTGAGAACCCTATTCTATAATATTGATGAACTTTTGGCATTGTGAGTTCGCTGTCTGTGTGGTAGTGTTACTGGTTTGAAATGTTGGAGCAGACATTGACAATCAGGCTGCTTTACTGCTTTAAAATAGAAAGCTGCAAAGAGTTTTTGCTTCTCAAATAACGTGATTTTTGTCTCAAAATTAGTTAAAACGTTTTTTTTTAGAGTAGGTTGTGCATCAAAACTTCATAAACTGGATACTTTGGGGGGAAAAAAAAAA